CCCCCCCCCCCCCCCCCCCAAAAAAAGAAAGTTTTAGAATGAAAATGTAATAAATTTATGTAACAAGTAACAAATAGACTTTCAACAGTATTTGTTGTTATTACTTCAATGTAATACTCTCTTACTAGGTATTACAATGTATGAATTTAGATTGCTGTAAACCTATATCCATTTTTCTTTTTTAACTGATTCCTCTCCACCCTTGTTTCTAGGTGTCTGTGCCAAGGGCTTTGGCATTCATCAAACGACTCAGCACCCTCACCCTGCAGTTGCTGCATCCTGAAGCCCTGGGCCTCCTATCAACCCTGCGCCAGTTGGTTCATGTAAGTGCTTACAATAACTCTTTTGTTGATTTGTAGAGGCAGCACATGGCAGACCAGTTACTGCTGTGATTGATACCAAGAAAAAAAAAATGAGGTGCCACAGATTTTGGATGTAGTTTGGCTTCAGTTTTTCTTCACTGCAGCCCTATTTGTCAATCAACGCACATGTGGAGGTTTTGTTTAATTGACTGATAAACTGCTCATGTACATGTTACAACTCTGGTTTAGGAACATAGTGGACTTAATGGGAAGACTGATTTTTAAACCTGATTGTGCCCATTTTCATTAACTTTAAAGATCTATGCATTTGTATTGTTACACCTGGGAGTCCATTCAGCTGAGTTAGGGGTCAACCAGTGCATTTTCCAGAGCAGCAGCAATTACAAGTTAAAAATGTTAACTTTTTATGTACAGGTAGACTGTATGTGTGTGTATATATTAAAATGTAAACTTTTTATATACAGACTGTGTACTTTATCAATTTATGACCAAAAAATTGAAGAAGTTTTAAAGCTGTCTTTCTGCTGAACAAGAGAGTAACTTGGTTTATGACTTGCAATGCTGTCTTTATTTTAGTTGTATAAGAAACTAGTAGAAGTGGTTTGTATGTGTTACTGGAAATAATAATAATAAAGGTTTACCAGGCCAATGCATATATGTAATGGAATATATATAAAACAGAAATTATATTACAATCTTAGGTTCGAAAATGAAATAAAATAAGCCTTCAAATGAGTCTGTACATTGGTGTTTCACATCTGCTGCCTGAGTTTGTGGTTAGTATAATAGGTGACTTAATTCTTTGGATGTGCTAGTCATCATGCCAAAATTGAAAGCTCTTTATAGCTCATTTTTAGCAACTTGTATGTGTTATTCTTTCTTTGATATACATAAAATCCAGCTGGTGGTACATACCCAGGAGGTGGTGTGGCCCAGGTTCTGAACCCCTAGATACCATGATGACTTAAAGATACAGCTGCTGCATAATTGGCTTCAAACACATTGAAGTCATCTGTCTGGCTGAAGTACAGGTCAAGTCAAAAGATTGGCCTGATCAGATTGTTTTCATCAAAAGTTTTGCAATTTTTTTAATTTTTTTTTAATTATTGTGATCATCATCATCATCAACAACAACATCATTATTATTAGGACTTGTTTGCTACACATTTTGTCAGCATATAATTAGTTTCCTAGTTTTGCACTGCTTTCATATGTAAAGTACATATTCAATTATATATTCTAGCCAAATGCTTGAGTAACAATGTTGACTTGTTCTTCAGTTCGCATTACATACTTGGATACATTTGTTGTCCTTTATCTATTTAACAATATTGTATTTAACATTTATGCAGAGCTTTCCCAAGTCAGACTTGCTGTTTGATGCAGAAACCCTTGGGAGTGGTACTTTCTTCCCTGAGCTGGCTGATCCTGAGCACTGCAATGCCCATGCCACTGCACTGTATGAACTGCACACTCTCAGAGTAAGTTTATATAGTAAACAAAGAGTCTTATGTGGTTATCTGTAATTGTAAAAATTATAAACCTAGTTCACATTCCATATAGAATATTTCATTAGGTGTTAGTTTTTGTAAAATGTACTTATATCAAATAATCACACAGATAGATAAATTATGAAATATACAGCTAATGTTAAATGAGTGAGATTTAAGACTTTTTAAAATTCCTGCATTACGATCAGTTCATCACAGATAAAGGGTTCAAAAGATTTGGGTTCATTCCTTTGTAATACTCCTACCACCAAAATGTTCTCATTTCTCATTCATATATAATGAAAAACAAAAATAAGAAATCATGTTCCAACAGAATTCTCTTTGACAAAATAGTGGGAATGTAAAGATTATGGAAGTGAAAGCTGTTACTGAAGTCATTGAATACTGTGGAATAGCCCTTGAGCAATGTTGGTAGGGGTTGGTTTGTCTTCTTTCCATTAAATTCAAGCATTGAGCTTGGCGACTTTCTGTGCAATGTTTGCCTGGTAAATTTGTCAAAGCTGATATATTCGAAAGCAATGTTAAGCCGTACTTCCAATGGTAATGGACTATACTCCCTGGAGTAATTCAGCTATCACAAATTATTGATATTGAGTTACTTCTGCTCTGTGATATACTTCATTTAGTGTGCAGTGTAATTGTAGTGATTGCTCCAGGTGATGGCTATAATTATGGCTTTCTGCAAAGCAGCAAAATACATCGGGGGTACATTGGAGGTATTAAAAGTATTTGATGAATATGTATTTGCTTTGAAAAAAATCCTTGTGGTCCAAAAATGTGCGGGATTGTTGGACTTCAAAATGCCTGTGAGAATAATAACAGTGGAGATGTCAATTTGTACTATCAGTTTGAGGTGAATTCTCCCATCAGAAATCAACTTTTACACACATCAGGCCCTGCCGTCATAAATGATAATTTCGATTTGTGACTTAGAACTGCAAATAAGTGATTTCGATCATTGATTTACTGCCTTGAACTGATTTTTCATGTATAAATACTAACTGCCAGCATTGCCTTTTTGGCCACAAACAGTTTGTTATTGGATGGATTTTACTCGGGTCTCTTGCAGTATACAGACCGGTTCTTTTTCTTAACTGCAAACTTTGGTAGAAGATACCAAGTACAACCAACTGCATGTTAGACCTTTTGGAGATTCAAACTAAAAAAAAGAGTAATATTTTCTCTTCTTTCTCCAATGATAATGAAAGAGATAAGCTTCTTAATGTTCACACCAAGGCCTACTCAAGTGGCTTGAGTGCAATTAGACTCTGTTCCCATACCTGGGTCAATCTAGCAGGATCAACCCATCCCCGAGGGGTTTCTCGCTAAAGTACATTCAGCTAAAGTGGTTTAGATGTCTGGCATGCCTACTGAAACTGTTAGGGGGTAATTAACTATCCTTAAGCAGCTTCAGTAGGCATTCCAGACATCAGAGCCTCTTAAGCTGAATGCAGTTTAGCAAGTGACCCCTCGGAGATGGGTCAATCCTGCTAGATCAATCTAGTCATGGGAATGGGGTCTAAAAGGGGGAAATGATATGTATAGTTATATATATGTAGTTGCCACTCAGTGCTTGGACAACATGACACATGTGGCTCATGTGGAAAATGTGTACAGTAGAAGCCTGGAGTTTACTTTGTAATGGTCAAATATTTTTCTCTGAATTAACATTATCACTGAAAATAAACAAAGTGCTTCAAAATGAATCAAACAAATGCATTTCTGTAATCAACTATTCCTACTTTGTATCAGTATGAGAGTAATGCATTCTCAACATCTCTGGCACATTGGGAACTTACTGAACAGGCAGGTGACAAGTTTATAGCTCAAGTTTATAAGATTGAGATGGAATATTTAAGAAATTATAAATTGTAAAATTGTTATAAAATTTTAATTGATTTATATTCATTTAGAGACACTATCACCCAGTGGTGAGGAAATATGGCAATCACATCTGCCACGGAGCCCCTTCCTCAGGAAATGGTCAGCTTCCACTTGAGATGACAAAACTGTAAGTTATATTATATCATAGTTTAATGAATTTTTTCTCTTTTTCTCTTTGTAAGCATTTTTATTGAGCAAGTTCCAAAGAATCTGTAAGATTGTCTTTTAATTTGGTGTTACTATATACTGACATTGCTCATATTAACTATGAAATTGGAAAATTATATTGCCAATTTACATGTTATACGTATTTCATTTTGTAGTTTCAATGTGTTTTTTAGTGTCACATTGACATGATTTTTGTACCACCAGAATACGTAGTTAAAATGGGGGTTACTTTGGTTTAAATGTGTATTTCCCGTTAAATATGTTCAAATATGTGTTTTACTATAAAATACATGCCATAAAACATAACCCAAGCTTTAATAAAATCCATGACTTTTCAGCTTTCATTAATTGTTAAAAATAAGCTTCAAATATTGTTAGAGAGTTGTAGGCAAACTGTGTGGTTTTCATATAAACCACATTTTCAGCTAGTTGCCCATGTCAGCTCCAGGAAAATACTTTACTAAAGGATAAGGTCTTGCCAAAGGCCACCACATTTAGTCAAGTGCTCTGCTGAGATTAAAACATTTGTGGAGTAAATGTGTATCTAAAAAAGAAAATTACCTTCTTTTGACACAGTGTTCTGCAAAATTGAGGCATGTTTTGAGCAGTTTATCAAATGTGTATATGTTCTTGGAATTGGTTTCTATTTAACAACTGCCTTCACCAACAATCTTTGTAATATTAAGGCAAGTTAGATGTCAGCAATTTCTGTGAAAAGTTGCATATTTTACTCATCTGAGCATAGGTGACTTTATTTCTTACAATTGAGGCCCTCTTCTGGGTCTTCCGGAAGACAGTCAGATTTTTCAAGGTCGCCATGATGGGTAACTAATTTTTTCTGTTGGAAGACTTTCAAAAAATGGAGGATGGATCAAAGATAATTTGGAAGACTGTCAGAAAATGTCTCTGGATCTGCCCCTGTTTTAGTATCATTTTGTATTCATTATATTAAATTGCACTTATTATTATACATGTATCTGACTTAAACTTGGATGAATAACTTGAAAAAACTTATGTGACTGTCATACTTCTGCTTGACTGTAGCATCTTGTATGTGCTGTACTACAGATGTTAAATCCTCTACTTGAAATTTATGTTAAGTTTATATGAAGTGGTACATTCATGTTGTAGGTCACGTTTTAATGTTAGCAATTGCTGCACTGTCAGTTGCTGTTTCTAGTTTGAATAGTGATACTGTAAGAACATAAATCTGAACAAACCTTTGTGTGCATGCAAAAAGCTTTTACAAACTTCTCCCACATATTTTAAGCCAAAATAGATTAAATTTTAGGTTGTGATAGACTTTTTATTATGTACAGACACAGATGNATAGTTATTTCCTGTTTTTTGTCTGTACATTTGACAGCTTTGCTGCCTTGTTTGCTTTAATTTATCAGTTGTCTTTTCTTTTAGTAGGATCTTGAGGATATCTTACACAATGCTGACATGATGTGAAATTTGCTTTTTTTTGTGATTGAAATGGGACATACTTTAATACATTTTTGTGCCTTCTCATTGGGTTTTTGATGAAACAGCTAAGTAATAAGTTTGATTTAAAATTTCACTTTAAGGAGTCCAGAAGAGCTGTACAATGCGTACGATGCAGGTCTTATGAAATTCATCCCAGACCTACCAAAGGAAGCCCCCAAAACCAAGAGAGTACAGGTCAGTAATAGTGAGTTCTGAGATGATGGATTCACAACAACTACGAGCATATATTCAACTAAGTCCAATAAGCTTTTTATATAATTACTCACCAGATAAATCACAAATAATGTCTGGACATTATTGTGGTTATGTTTTATTGAAGGTACAGGGACTTTCCTTTTCCTAATGTAATGGACAGGGAAATCATTGTGGCACATGTCAGCCTTTGCTGATGTTAACTCAAGGTCCTTTTTGTTTTATTTTGTTTTTCCTTCAGGGGAGATGTTAATTGAAATTGTCTAGTGAAAATGAAAATTATTATACCAAAACACCCAAATAGCATTTTCGTTTATTCCCATATGTACTCCAGTCCTTTTTGTGTATAGTACAGTTACACGCATGAAAGGAATTGATGAGGATGCTGACAGTTCCATAAAAGACTGTGCAGTTTGTCACGTCAAGCCGTGGGAGTACACTGTGCATGTGATAGCACTAATCCCAGCATGCCTGACTGGCCTCATGTGGGAGCCATGAAATGTCTTTCACTTTGACTGACTTCATTCTTTTTCCACTCCAAAGCAGGATTATAATGCCTCCCATACACATTAATCTCCTCCTATAACATGTTCCTTCACATGGGGCTACTGCTCCAGTACTGATAACACCACCAGATCAGACCCCACCGTGACCAGAGATCACACAGACTTAATCACTGCTCGTGTAATATGATTGCACTTAAAGCAACTAGTCTTCTTTCAATTTTTTGTTTGCGATGCAAGAGATTGAGAGTCTGGGTGAGATCTTGTAGTATTGAATGCCCGTTACATAGATGTATATATGATTTAGTTAGTGGAGAGAAGTCGTGTGGGCTCAACCATGTAGTTGTTGTGCATTGGAAAAAAATTAAAGATTACTCATGTTTCTGTAATATATGTCTGTATTTTACCATATTTGTTTCCAGGTGCCATATGATGAATTTGTGCAAGACAGTATCACACAGGATGCCAGCAGTCTGTTGGAGAACAGTTCTCTGGGGAATATTTCCATGACAACAGACTTTTATTCTGGAAATAAGAAGAGAACTAAAAAGCAACAATTAAAATGTTCTAAGAAAATTAGGTGAAAAGGAATCACCTTATAAATGCAGCTTGCAAATTCTGTACAAGAGGCTTTGATATACATTTTTAATAATAAGTTTCATCAATAACTGTCAGTGCTACAGCAGTGAAATTGCTCTAGTAAAGATATACATTGAAGAAATGATAGACGGCTATATTTTACTCTTATTCTTTCTTGAAAAATATGAAATAGAGAGTATTTTGTATAAGTGAAATTAGACCATGATACCCTACTAAAAACACTCAGTCATGAGACTTGATTGATAGACAAAAGGTATTTCTGAGGGCCAAACTGAGAAATATGTTTATAACACCTAATAAAAATAATGACAAAGAAAGTCAAGTGTTTTTAAGTGCAGTATAACTCGATACCAAAGGTATCATATTTCCCATCATGTTTTTTCTTGTACTCTATTTAATGCCCTGCACTTCTTTAAAAGCGCATCTACTATTGCAGTGTACTCACTTCAGTACCCTATAACTACAGCCAGTGCAGGAGTATGTGGTTAAGGAGTGAACTGGATCAGAGAAGTTTGTGGTTAGAGGCAAATTATGTAAACAGAGCATATCCTTTCTATTAAGACCTTATGATAGAGTTAACATTTGACGCAGGTGCTGTGCAATGAAATCGTAACGGTTTTTGAGTGATTTTTTAGTCTTTATTTATTTATTTATTTTTTTAATTTATTTATTATTTTCTGTTGGCGTGTATGTATACATCATGTACAGCTGCCGTGCCATTTCTCTGACAGAGCCTTGAGGTCCGGTAAGGAAAAATAGGTTTGTCGGCTGAAAAGTGGTTATACGGAGCCCTTTCGATCTCAGTGCACTTGCTGCACGTCCTCTGTGCAGCTTCCTTGAAGAGCGAAGGGCCTACGTTGTCCCTTCTGCCCCCCCCCTTCCCATGATTTACAATGCCCACGTGGTCAGTATAAGGAAACACACTCCTTCAAATTCATGCAAGTGAATTACACTTAAACTAAGTTTGAAATATCTTCACTATGATTATGCTTCCTAAAACTACATAAGTTGGAAAGGAAAGAAAATAGACCAACAATATGTTCAACTATTGTCAGGATCACCACATGTCCCCCGAACAATACCTGTACGGGAACTTACTGTGCAATGCCATATTGCCACGGGCTTACGATTTTGATGATGAATTTAATTTTGAATGCCCATAGAACGTCATTTTCCTCGGAAAAAAATTATCAAACCATTTATCTTTTTAGACTCATTATGCTGAATTCCCAAATTCTTAAAACAAAGCATTGTGCAATTCTGTCATGTTTAGACATTAGACATTCTGAACTTTTGCAAGAAAGTAGTAGACCTTTAATGTTCTAAAATTAAACAAAATCACAAATGTAACATTTCCAGTGTAGTAAGCAGCAAGTGGTAATACTTAATAAATCAGATCACGCTGAACGTCAGTGACGTCAATATCCACTTAATTAACCTAATTACCCCCGCTCCCGTGCTTTTGTTAACTCCTGAAGAGATGAAACTGCCCATGAAATATCTAAAAATCGTCAGAGAGTGAGATTAAATGTAGGATCTTTTGTTTCAGTCCAGTACACAATGTATATTGCGGCCTAGTTTCAGTGTTCCAGACGCGTGTAACCTCCCAATGCGAACATAGGAGGAAATGAAGACACTTGAGCTATCTGGCATCTCACGCTTTACTCGAGAGAAAAAAGGTGATCGACATCCGTATCGTTATGTACTGTACAAAATTTTTTTCAAACAGCGTGCTTTTAGTGGGATAGAATATATGGTTATTCGTTACTTGAGCTTCTGTGTAGAGCAGGGCTTTTTTTTACATGTACCACTTAATTGCATTGTCCATTATGTAAAGATGTTAATTTGTTAGGTGCTCTTTCAAAAACTTTCGTGCAATGTGAAATAAATTCTGCTTTTTGGACTAGTCATTAGTGCTAGTGGCTGCTCTCAATTTGATGTGAGGTGTTTTTTTTTTAAATCGAAGCTATTTTAGGGTATTGGCTCGCGTGTTTTACATCTTATTCTTCGACTTTGTACATGTGGCTTTTGTGGATTGTAAGCGTTTGCCACGGAATTTATGATTGCAGTTTGTCTTTGTGAAACTAAATGACTGATACTAACCCAGTCTCCATAATTTTTTATTATTTTGAATGTGTATTTGTGGTAGCAATAGGAGGCAGAAATAACTTGGAAAGTGGAAATTGTCGACTGCGTTGAATACCTGTCCATTTCAATATTTTACATAATAGTAATAATCAAGACCCCGAAAAAATTATTTTGGATGCGGCACATAAGAATGCGTACAGTTAATTTGAGGAACTAAATGTTAAGTTAAAGAGTTAATGAGTGTGAAGATGAGTTCTGGTTGCGAGTAGAAAAAAATGAAGAGAGAAAAGTTGCGCATGTGTTGTCAAAACAGACTTAAACAATTGCTTTTCTACGCAAATCTAGAATTCTCTATCCTAATTCAAAAATAATTGACGGCTGAGAAATATATAGGCGATACGCAAAATAAAAGAATTCGAGTTACCCTGGATCCAGGGTCAGTTTCTTTGAAGACGCCAAACCCATTGAAATGTCATAAAAGTCGGGGTTCGATTTTATATATCTGGGGTCTTAAGTCATTTAAAGTCAATGTAAGTTGGGAGGTCATTCGCATTTACTTAAAGGGATTCTTCGGGGATCAAAGCTACCACGAAAAAAAAGAAAAAACTTCAATCCGATAGAGCTTAGGTAAGATGTAAGCTTTAGGGAGGTAAATCCACGTGGGTGAGTTTGGTAGGGGGTCCTTTGGCACATCGCCGTGGGGTAAACTTTTGTTTCTATTTTTCAAATTAAGGATAAGAGCTTGTTGTCTGACACATTAAGATCGTGACACCTTCTCCAAAGCGTGATTGAGACTTTGGCGGCAAATTTTCACAGTGAATTGTTGCAGCATATTACGTGACATCTTGTATAATCTCTGCTACACGCTTTCCTGAGCATTTCTTGATAACAAGCAAATCGCATCATGACCGTTGTCTTTTAAACGTATTACTAATATTGATTCGGGATAGCATAGATAGAATAAACCTCTACTAATTACAAACACCCAAGACGCAGAAGTGAGAAACAAAGTTATAGGTCGATCTTAATGACTTGTTTGGATTTTTTTTTTTCACGATCAAAACGCTGCTATTGAACCTGGTAATCTTAGATGAACTTTGTCCGAAATTTTCTCGCAAACACATCAAACCATGTTTTCATGCTTTCAAGGTGGAAGATTTCCCCTAAATTGATGTTTTCTGTCCGTCTTTCGTGCTTGGTCATTTCTGTTGCACTGCGAATGTGCATCTTTTTTCCGCTGTACACAAAAGGGCAAACTTCCTTGTAACGAAAATAATAGAAATGTGACTGAGATAAAGCATTTTATGATCATCTACTGTATATTAAGAATTAATAATCAATAACACTTGTATCGTTACTATTAGGCCTACATCAGGTGGATAAAAAACGTAGGCCCTACCTAAATAAGCTTTTCATCTCTAAACATCTATCCAATTAATCCCATGAAATTTGCCTCTATTCTGCATCAAATATTGCTTCCGTTACATCACTGTGTGATTGCAACAGCTCCATACCTTTTGCGCGCAGTGCAAAAATTCAAAAAAAAAAAAAAAAAAAGCCAATGCTGAAATATATTGAGCGTTCCGCAGTCCCACCTGTTATTTCTTAGAAAAGCCAGTTAACCTGTCTTCCGTGCACCCAAAGACCGTTCTTGGTGTATAACCTCTAACAAGGGAAATATATGAACTATCCCCGGCCATAGGGAGATACTGATGTGACGGTCCGCTGATTTATATTCCTTGGATTGACACAGAAGTTCTGCGACCAGCCTGTTTTTTTAAGACTACAGAATAGATAATACTTTCTGGGACGTGACCAAAAGGTATTCATTTATTCAACATTTAACTTCGCTTTAATAGATTTTATGTAAAATAAATTAGTTGACCATATTTTACAAACCAGATCATAATGTGATGAAAACAAACCATAAAGGTAACTTTCAACTGCAATCTAGTTTTCTCGCGACAGCCTGAGTCCTTGACACCGGTTATCTTTTCATTTTCTGAAAATAACCACATGTAACCTCATTAGTCCTGCACCGTCCTGCTTGGAATTAACCACGAAACATTCTATTACACCACTGACTTTTTCGACCGTGATTTTTGTACGTAGTAAGGCATTAATTAAGTAAAAGAAAACACAAACCGACCAAAAATATTAACATATAATTGTATTGAGCGAGATTCCAATGAATTGCAGTTGACGTATTTTGAGAAATCGCGAGTCGAGCTTGAGGGAGTTTTTAATCTTTCCATAATATGTAGCCTAACACCCACTAACGTCCTTTTTAAATCTCAGTGGTATTAGAAAATTGCTTGTTCCTACTCTTTATGCCCGAAGACTTTTAAGATTATAACTCGCCTTTACAAGTTCTTTGCAAATTACTTCAGCATGTTGCTAAGGTAGAATTTCATCATTGTTGTGATTGTTAATAAATGTGTTGTTTCTCTTCTTATCTATCTATTTATTTATTTATTTATTATTATTATTATTATTATTATTATTATTATTATTATTATTTGCATATAACATTTTAAAACGTTCTCTTTGCTAAGTGTGACTGTTAGATGGACAATTAATAACACTGGATTTATTTTCTTTTGTTAATCATTTATCAATCGGTTGTCCCGTGCAATATACTTACTCCGCCAGCTATCTCTTAAAAAATGATATTTTCCAATTGATTAACACTGACATTGAAATGACCAACGAAACGTAGTATTCCCCAATATGTTTATCTTTCATGATCTTTTTGAACAATTGGCAAATTGATAGGTAGGGGTAGAATGTTTTTATTCAAAAGTTTTTCAAACTAACCAGTATTCTTTTCATTGTCACTCTCCATGATTGTCCACAAACAATTTTTTACAGTCACAAATCGTTTTTATGACCTGGTATAAATAACCAGTTGATAATTGGGTATGGCTTTTCGTTTTATTGTCAAAACGTTCCATACTGAGAAGAGAATAACGTATATGTAAGTCTATACAATAGATGAGTGGATATTCCCAGGCACCATCGGGTCACCATGCATGTGGATAGAAACGTGAGCATACTTCCAGCTATAATTTACAAAAAGTCTAGAAAGTGATGTCCGACCTACATGTGTACTTTGGAAACAGTCCAAACTCCGCCCAAACTCTTGCCTACCACCACCACCGTCCTGACTACTGGCAAACAGCCAGACTTTTTACCTATAT